TGGTTTTACGAGGTTGAGTATGAAGACTAAATATGTTTGTCGTGGCTTTATTAGTCTGCATGTAAATTTTCATCACAATCGGACAACGTGGTCAACAAATTTACATGTAAAAATTTGCAGGTGGGGGGGAAGGAAAAAGAGCCGCCAGCCGAAAATACCTATATATTACATATTGGTTATGTAATTAATGCGTTAGAGTTATTGCAGCCATGAGTAATATGAGTTAGACAGGCATGCAAATTCCATTCAAATAAAGTAATTTTTGGCTGTTTTGAACTCTTCGCCTGGTGCATCCACACTCTCTTAATTAACTTAGTTTCTGAAGACGTTGTCCTCCCAAACTTTTTACACACCCAACTGAAGGGGATAAAAAAACTGGGGGAATAAACTGGGGTGGTGGGGTGGGGGGATTGTTTATAGATTATTATCGATTGTAGTGGATTAACTTGAAATAAAAACAGAAGGATTATAGTTGACACAAAGGGTTAATTTGGTGAATCATTAAGCCCCCCCCCCCCCAATTTTACCAATTAAAAATCCCCCTTGTTTAACCAGCAGCCCCCAAGGGCGTGGGGGGAGTGCAAGCGAAGACTAGCGGTTGTGGTAAAAGGGGGGGTGGTGGGTTAATATTTCAATTACCTCAAAAATTCAACCAGCGCAGTTTGAACGAAGGGTACGTGGGAAATGTATAACATTCAAATGTTACCACCCCCCCCCCGTTAAAACATTAAGAAACAGTGAAATAGTGTTAAACTACAATGAATTGAAAAAGCAGACAGAAAAAGTAAAAAAAATTATGAAACGTAATGCGGAGCAAATGCACTAAACACGAAATCAAAAAATTTTGAAAAACAATTGTAATTTTCATGAATAACCTTTCAAAAAATCCTTTTTAATCGTTTTTAATGAATTTTAAGGAATTTTTTGACGTGAAAAATTTTAAGATTATAATGCATTGTTTATAGATTATTATCGATTGTAATAAAAATAGTAGGATTTTATTCAAATTTTTAATTTATTATAATCAATTTTTTGTAATTTTATAGAAACTGGGCATAAAAATGACAATATAATTGATGATGATACACGGACAACCGGGCGGGAAGTTTTGCGATGTGAGATATGAAAAAAATATATGTTCACAATTGTTAAGTAGTTCACTGTGCCAATTTTTATTGCATTATAAAAAAATTGAAACAAAAACTTTAGGAGAGTCATTTTTTTTTCTCTGATAGCCAAAAACTTTCGAATTGCTCGATTTATGGGAAGGTTGCTTTGAAGCAACCAAAAATTGGATCAAAATGTTTTCTATCTCAAAAAGCTATGGAGATCTGATTTTTGACAAAGTTTTTTGGCGACATGGGCTGTAATTGTTTTTAACGGATTATTACGGTTTTTTGAACAATTATAATTGATCGTATCTACCAAAATTAGGTTTCTAAAAGATTTAAATAATTTATAATGTCGACTTTTTCCAAGGTATTATAATCTCTTTTAATCGGTTTGAATTGTTTTTATTACATGCAAAAAACTCTTTAAGACAATTGTAATTCGTTATAAACAATTATAATTTCTTATTCCAAAATTTTAATCATATCCTAATGGTTTTTATTTTGCTCTCAATAACAGAAGCTCTGTCAGCGAAATGTCTTGTCACACTTTGGTTCATCTGTTCACAGTTTTACCACGAAACAAAAGTTTCATCGAGAGTACTTCATTGTACTTGAATAATTATAGCGGTCTATGAAAAAGAAATCTTCCAAAAAAGTCATAAGGTTAAATCAAGTTGCCAAAAATTTGGCGGTTGAAAATACTTCAAATGTGAATCATGTAACAACTCAAACGGAGAAGCATTGGGAACAAAAAACTTTGTAAAATTGAGTTGATTTGAAAAATTTGAAAACAATTTTTTCGTTTTTTGCTTACACCAACGTCTAAGGAAAAGCATAAGCATTCCAGATGCAAGGTTGAAAAAAATAGAAGACATTCTATTCAAATATAAAGGTTTTTTAAAGCAAAATATACAAATTAGGAGTTGGAATCAAGATAATTGACAATAATTGTATTGTAGAAAAAAATGGTTTAATAATCAAGTATAATCGATAAAAGTTCTATGATTGATTATAATTTGATTTCAAAAACAAAAACTTTAATCAATTACGATTTGGTTGAAATCGTTTTTTTTCTCTCAATTATAGTAAGACTGTTACTAAAACTATAAAATGACCGATTGTTAACGCTTGAAACTAGATGTGGGTTAAAAATACTGCTGTTGGTTCTATATGAGATAGTCGAAATAAATTGTACCGAGATACATGAAAATATTTTTGCGTTATCAAACTGTAGTTGCAATTTTTTGCTATATTAATCCATGGAAGCAAGCTATTACTCATATAAAATTTTTCTGGTCTTTTGATTTTTTTTTGTTACCCTAACTTGGAGAAATTAGGATAATTTAATCGTTTGGGTAAATGTGACGGTTTTCCCTGTTTAATTACATCTGTTTTGTTTCCTATTACGTAACAAGAAGTTTTAGTTTTCTCATCTATACAGGTTGTGGCTCTTTTATTTCGTTAAAATTTGTTTCATCTAAAAAAATTTGACTGGATCTGTTCGAATAATTTTAGAAAGCATGGAGAATTAAATCTACTTAATTTTTTTGTTCTAATTTTCATTAACGAAAGTAACGGAATATTTGTGTTCAGGGTGGTTTTTTTTCTTCAGACAAAATTTGACTTTTTCACTAGCCATTTCTATATCATGCAAAAGATACTGTTGTCCTGAGCTTAAATTTGTGAAAAATATTTCAACTGTGATCTTTTTTTGGAAATATTGGGGTTTAAAGGTTGCAACTTTGGTCAGTTTGGGACAATCAACGCGCGATATATTTCGCGCTATTAACACGTAAGCGTGAATTTAATCCGTCTTAGAAATCTTTCCAAATTGGTTGAAGAAAGCTTATTTGACATAACTAATTTGTTAATAGGAGCGAAGTTTATCACTTTGTACTTTATATGGCGTGGGAGTTGATTTTCACAAAAAATCTTAAATAAAAAAAAAGTTTTTTTTTTCGTTTTATTACTTTCAATTTTTTCTTGACAATACTTCTCCATAGACCTTAAGAGGCAGTCATAACATTTAGCATTTAGAGCTTCGCCCTGATACGAGCATTTTCATTTTCACTATCGGTCTGTTTTAATTATGATAAACAGTTGTGATAATAATTTGAGAATATCAAATAAGTAGGAATATATCTTTCCAAAATTAACTAAATGTAGAAGAAACGAAGATAAATTCCGGTATCAAGGAAAATCTTGGATGTTCTGACTTTTCTTTAGGGCATCTGAAGTAAGCTTTGCGTCCATGTTTTGTTCAAGAAAAAAGTTCAGATGAAAATAGATTTTGAATATAATCTCATTTTTTTTCGGACCAGTTAGCGTGCCCTTTTTCAAATTTGAACAAATTTAGAGCTATACTAACATGCGAAATATGCAAAAACTAATCCAAATGTCCCCATTTGGCAGTTTTTTGGAAATTTGGCAAAAAATGCCCATCACATAAAATGAAATACCCTAAAACATAGGTACTATTGCCGAAACCGTTATTCCTTGTTTTTCTATGCATCAGTCAAATCTTTAAGGCCAGGTTATGGCTAGCACTCTGTTGACAAAATATCATTAGAGATCAAATATGGCTCATCATTGTACAAGTAACTAATTCATATATTGCCAAATATTACAAAACATTCAGCTATATATCTAGTTTTTGAAGTCTTTTTCTACATAGAAGGTTATCAAAAGTCTAAATACAGAGATTGCCGCGGCATTGAACATTGAATAAACCAGTGGTTTTTTGTCGAGGAACCAGAAAAAATTCAGACAACTCTAAGTTTATCAAAAAAAATATCATATTTGTTTTCTGGGGCTCACATCAATAACTTACTTAAGTCAGCGCACATCAAAATCTTAGTTAAGTGAGCGTTCAGTGTGAACTGACAATTTTCTGGAGAAATTGTATATAATGTGGTGGAGTAGAACTAAAACAGTTAACTGCAAAGCTACGTATTCCAAATTCGAACCCCGTTAGGAATTTTAGAACCCCCCCTTTTTTGTTCCGACCATTGAAAATAGGGAGGCACTGTGCCTTCGGGTGTTTTTTAGTTTCCACGCGTCCACTCGAAGTCACGCATCACAAGGATCATCGAAATTGGTTGAGTGATATATCGTATTAAAGCCTTTTTGGTCCTGATTTGCTCAATTTTAAAAAAACGTTTGAACAAATTGTCCAACCGTTGCATTATTTGAGGTTTTTGAGTTTTTGGATTCTTGAGTTAAAAGCATTTAAAATATTCTAATGTATTAGTTAAAAGCATTTAAGCTCTTCTAATGTATTTATGCGAAAAAAAAATAGAAAAAATTTTAGAATTTGATTTTTTGAAATTGTTCATTTTTTTTGTTTGTGATTCAGTTTTTGATGACACTTGTTGTTGAATATGCCTCTTACACCGATCTTCAACGGGTTCCTATTTTGTTCTTCTATAAAAAAAACTTGTTGACAATTCCATTTTGCAGAAAACCTTGGTAAAAATTGCAACAAAAATTTCTTTTTGCGTTTTTCAAGCCTGCAATCTAATCTATAAAATAAATCAATTAAGTCAATGGGTATTTGTTTTCTTTTGCATTCCTAGAAAAATTTATGTGTGTCATTATTGATCAATGGAGTTTCAATGTAACTTGTATCTATGTTTCTTATATGAATCATAGACTGAATGCTGTCAAAATGGTCATGTGCACAGTAAAAGATATATGGATAGGAAAAACAGAAACGTTTATGAGAAATATCTGAACTCAAATGAATGTCTTCTTTTAAAGAATAAGCTGAAATGTTATCAACTAATTTTTTCGATATAATTTTATGAAATATTAATCGTAAAACACTTTCTTTGGTATCAAATTACTGTTCTATAAAATTAAGCTATTGTTAAACAAAAATTAGCTAACTGAAAAAAAAAGGAATCAAATTCATTAGGACGACAGGAAATTGACGACAAAAGTTGCGTTGTGACTCTGGGGGGGTGGGGTCGTGATTGGGATTGTTTGTGGGATTGTGGGGAGTGGGATTGGTTTGAGGAATTACAGAGAGGAGTTCAACTAAGGTGAGTTTGCTGATAACATTCCGAAAGATGTGGTTACACAAGCAAATATCTTTGTTTTGTTCCAGAGTGAAATCGGATTCTCTGTAATCGTTTGAGTGGGTTTGTGTTCTGTACCGCCCATTCCACAGTCGTCATAGTTCGAAGTCACTTTCATCCCAAACTATCAAGTTCGGCCGACTCCAGTCTATTTTCGAGATCTTGGATGAATACCAATAATTTTCTCTCGTCGTCGCTCCATTTTGCATTTTCTGCGGATTGAGCGAAGTTCTTAACCCGCTCAATGAAGCTCTTTTTACAATGAAAGGGTGCCTTGATTGGTGCCTGGGGGTTCATTTCCTTCAGAAATTCTATCAGAAGAACAAAGTGCTGCTCTTCTTCTGCAATGAGTTCTCGAAGCATCAAGAAAGATCCATATTGAACGGACCACGCCATCGCTTGCTGTAAAACTTTTGCTATCATGCTTGCATTGGCGCTGTCTTTGTATTTAAGTATTTTTCTCATTAAGTATTCCACTAGTTTGTGGTCTCTGTTGGTCCAAGTTGCAATCGACAGAAGGGACTGACTCTCAACAAAATCGATCTCAAAACTTTGGCTCACAATCAACTTGCTTATATCATCAGCGTGAACATCAAAGAACTTCGATGCTTTTTCAAATGCATGATCGACTACTTTTAGTGAGCCTTCTTTCATAGCTGAAATCAGCACTTCTCTGAAAAACTTTGCCTTTTCCTGGGTATCAAAAATAGGCCTGCCAAACTGCACTCGCCATTCAAAAGTTTCGATCGCATCTCGGCTATATGCAGAATTTACCCAAAGAATCATCTTATTCTTTCTGTCGCCCTCAAGGCTATTTATCAGGTGTTTGAAGGACTTGCGTTTTGCGAAGTCTGAAAGATGTCTGAGAAACTTTTGGCTTTTCTGCCTTCCAATGCATCCAGGCAGCACGGCATCGATAAACAATTCAGCCATGTGGTCTTCGAGTGCCCCACTGCTCGATATGGCTGCCCCTGCTGCGAACGCGTCTTCAAACAGTTTTGTCTCCTGTCGCTGGACCGAAACCCGGATGACATCACACAGTTCCTCTTTTGTTCCTCTTTTCAGTTTGTCCACGAATGTCTTCCGTTCACTCTCTTCATTTCCCCGCACCTGGGCTACAATCAGTTGGTTCTCGTCTCTGATCAGATTATCCAATTCTTTCTTTTCCCACTCATGCTTGACTACAATTTTTAAAGTCTTCTTTGCTCGAGTGGTAGCTAGCAGAAGATTTTGCCCGAAAGTTTGTCCATAAGTTGAACCGTCACATTCAACCACTTTTCTTTTGTCGTAAATACTGACATCAGATTCCAATATGATCAGAACATCATCAAATTCGCATCCCGAAAACAAGAGCTTTCGATAATCTTCCAACGCATCGTTTGCAAAGGTTTGTTCGTCGTCAGCTTCAAATCTCTCAAGAAAGCTCGAGTTTTGACAACTATCGGTTTCATTCTCGACATCGCTATTCTTGCGAAAAATAATGATACCCATCGAATCTGCGTTGACGAGTTCTTTGCGCCAATCTTCTACAATTTGATACCTTTTCTCGGCATCACTTTCAAGTAGCACTTGAATATTGTCTTCGTGCGGAACTCGTGGCGAGATGGAGACAATGCTTGTTCCACAAATGTGTTTCCTAAACAAACGAAGTTAGCGGTTGTTGCGCACATTGCGCCTTGAGCTTAAAAAAGAGTGATACATATACATCTAGGATTTTCTCGAGATGGGGGGCGGATTTTCAAAAAAAATTGAACATTTTGTCGATTTTTTTAGGTCGACCAAATTGATGTTCTACACAACTTACAAAAATATGCAATGTTTAGTACCGTGTTTTATAAAAATCAGCTCTCGACTGGATTTTATTGCGCTATTATCTTGAATCAATTTCTTAAACAGTTTGATCATTTCATCATTAGACTTGCTTTGATGCATCAAAAGTGAGAAAAAGTAAATATAAAATCCTATATAAGTTTTGCGATGAACTGTTCAGTCGATCAAAACCAATTCGATTTTGAAAAAATTTTCAAGAGCTGGGAAAAGTTTAGAACAAAAAACATATGACATATACTTTGCCATGCTAACCGTACACAGAAATACACAAACTCGGTTGATTTTTTGTCAAAAACATCAATTTTTTTTCATTTTGTTTTCTTTCATTTAATTTTTTAATGTTGTTACTGCTTCATAAACCTTAAAAGGCAGTCGGAACATTCAAGGCTTTGCCCTGATACGAGCAGTTTTTATTGCTTTTGTCCCCACTTTTGTAGCGAAAGTAACGGAATATTTGTGTTTGGGGGTTTTGTTTCTTCAATTAAACTTCGATTTTGTAACTAGCCGTTTTTGACAGAATGTTTTTATACATCGTTCAAAATAATTTTGTCCTGAGCCTAAATTGAAAAGATGTTTTACTTGTGATCATTTTTTGTAAAGTAGTGTGGGTTCAAAGATTGCCATTTTGGCCAACTTGGGACAATTAACGCGCGATATATTTCGCGCTGTTAAAATTTAAGCAGAGGCTTTATCCTTCTGAGAAATCATTCCAAATTGGTCAAAGGAAACTTATTTGCCATAATCACTATGTTACTAGGAGCAAAATCTATCACTTTGTACTTAATATGGCGTGTGGGGGGATTATTTTTACAAAAAAATCTCAAATTAATTTTCTTTCATATAAATTTACTTTTTTATGTTATTACTGCTCCATAAACTTTAAAAAGTACTCGAAATATTCAAGACTTCGCCCTTATACGAGGAGTCTTGTTTGTTTTGATGTTTTAGTTTTTCAGTTCCGTTCTTAGGTTTGTTTTTCGATGATTTGATTCGTTCTTCGATTGATTGACCTTGCAAAAACATTTTTGGTTCATTTGTTGCATAAGTTGCTATGATATTTGTTTTTTTTCTGTTGTTTTCAGTTTTTTACTTTTTTTGAAGAAAATGACGTTTTATTTGTGCCCGAGGTGATTTTTTCTACAGACGAAATTCTTTTTTTTAATTAGCAACTTTTGACCGAGTTTTTTTATATCAGTCGAAAGGTATTGTTGTCATGAACTCAAAATTAAAAAGAGCTTCACTCTGTGATCAATTTTCGTAACTTTATTAAGATTTAAATGTTGCCAATTTTGTCAAGTTGGGACAAGTATTGCGCGATGTACAGTCGTGTTCTCTCAAGTTGTTACACTTTTGCGACAAAAAAAAACACAATGTACAGAAACAAACACTTAAATTGCTCGCCTTGTGTTACAGATAGAATAACGGAACAAAAACATCGAAAAGGTCTAATACTTGGTTATTTCACCCCTCATCTTCAATACTTCAGCCATGCGCCGAGGCAAGGAATCATAAAGTTTGTTAATGGCACTTCAGCCACGCGCCGAGGCAAGGAATCATACAGTTTGTTAATGGCATCTTGAGTAATCAGATTCCAGTGTTTTTCTGTTACTTCATACAACTGGTCTCTAGATCGAAATTCGATGTTGCTATCTTTTAAAGAATTCTTTAGCATCTTCCACAGGTTTTCAATGATATTAATGTCGGGTGAATGAGGGGGCCATGTAGTCGTTACGATGTCTTTTTCTGTGAAAAACGTATTCATTAAATTTGAAACATGGCAGGGGGCGTTGTTCTGTTGGAATACATACTCGTCTCCATGAAAGCTGTTGATAACATCCGGCAGATTTTGCTCTATTATTTCCTGGTGTTTTTCGCTGTTGAGAGTTCCATTACTCTTCTCTAATTTGCGAAATCCGTGGTAGGTCACGCAACCCCAAATCATTACGGAAAAAAAGCGTTTTGATTTCTTTTCTTGGGGATTCATCCATCCAGGATCCGCCTTGAAATTCAAGAATAAAGTCTTCTTAATTTTGTTCACTTCGACCTTGCACTCGTCTGAAAAAATATATTTTCGCCAGTCTAGAAAATTCCATGATTTTCGTTCACGAGCCCACTTTCTACGGCGAAGTTTGTTATATTTCCTGATAATCATTTGCTTTTTCTGCACAACTTTTGACGCGCCAAGCAGTTTTATTTGTTTGAATACAAAAGATATACACCTTTTCTTATCCTGACTTTGATTAAAATGTCCTGTGATCTCTCGAACTGATCCATTTCGGTATTTCTTGATGAGTCGTCGGAGCCGATTTTTGTCGCGAAAGGTAAGATTTTTTTTCTTAATTTTTTTTTGCAGCTGATCCTTCTGCTTCATACAATTTGAGGATTCTGTGCACAGTCATACGAGAAATCACTAAGGCATTGGCCATGTGGCTTTGCTTCTGGTTATTTTTTTTCAGCTGTATAATCCGATTTCTTAACAGAATTGGGGTTTCCCGTGCCATCAGAAAATAATACAAAAATTGTTCACACCATTGTGAACAAACGTTTACGCAGGACATACTATCGTGTGAAAATGCAAGTGTAAACTACTTGCCAAGAATCACGACGTTGGGTTAACTTAATCAAAAGATATAGCCCATTTAATGCATTAAACTTGGTTGAAAATATGAACAAAAAACAAAGTGTAACAACTTGAGAGAACACGACTGTAATTCGTGCGATTAACGTAAAAGCGAAGTCTGGTACCTTAAACAATTATCGGAATGCATCAAATGATACATCATAAAAAAGTCCTTTCAGTTGTTATTCGAATAACATTTTAAAATTTTGAGTAGAGGTAACCGGTTTGAAATTTTCGAGTATTAGCCTAATTCTGGGGGAGTAAAGAAGCAAGCAGACTTTTTATAGAAAATAAGCCATGAAAGTTTAATTTACACTCCTTAAATTGCACGAGTTTCAAATCGTGTTTTCAAAGCGCTCGTCACAGGATAAATCTACAACTTTTCACACTATCGCGGCTTGCTTTCAGACTATAACATCTTAGTTTTAGTTTTCAGACAGTCGCGACCAATTTTTAAACTGTTTTGCAACTGGTTTCCCGACTACCGCGACTAATTTCCAGACTAGTGTGACCGAAACTTGATATTTCCAGATTTAATCCTTGACTATAAAACTCTTTTTAGTCAATGATCATTCGCTCACGAAATTAACATCGGCGCGTGAGGAAGGTAATCGGGGATCTCGACTGAGTAAATTTTTTAAAGGAATTGAATCATACCGTCAGGTACCTATTAAACGTAAAGCATTTCCAGTAGAGGGAATTAAAGGGATTCTAGTCCAAACGTGGTTCATTGTACCTGGTTGTTTTATGCAGCATCTTGGAATTGAAATGAAGAATACTACTGCTGCTTCTGTATCCGACATTCAGCACATATCTGTGGAACCCAGCTGGGTAGATGAGTCCATAATGACCATGCTTGCACTCCATTTGACCCCCAACAGAGACATTCATGCAGACCATATCAAACAACGGAAACAAGTTCGCAACTCCGTCTCCCATTTGAAGTGTCTCTTTTTCAGTAGACACCATACACTCGTCAATAATGAGGCCAATTTTTCGTCCCAAGAAGTCTTCTTCGTCGTTCAAGAGCTGCTCCAAAACGGAGCGCTTAGAGTCAGCGATCTGCAATTGCTCTGAAATGAGTAGAGAAACGATTTAAAATAATCTAGCAAACCCCTTCTACGGTAAACTCGAGCTCAAGATCTTTCAGAGCAAAGCATTTAACGGAAATTCACCATAGGATTGAGCAGGGGCGGATTTGGGGGGGGGGGGGGGGGGAGTGAGGCGGACGCCTTTCTCCGCCCTTCAGGGATTCGGCGGAGGACATAAGGGGGCGGACGCCCCTTCTTGGGGATTCGACCCCCTGCCGACCCAAAGGGTCCCCCTTTGGTACTTTTTATGAAATCCATTTTTGGTCAACCGACTCTAAGACTTGACTCTAAGACTTTTCTAAGGCGCCTTTGGCGCCTATATATACTAACTTTGAGGGGGAGCGCGCGCCAAAAAAACGCGATTTTTTGTAAAATTTTTTCCAAAAAGTGCCCAAAAACGGCGTCTTTTCAGTGCTTTAGGAGAGCTCAGAAAATCAATTTGGTCAACCTAAAAAAAAAGTGGTCAAAATTTTTTGAAAATCACCACCCCCTTCGAGAAAATCCTAGATCCGCCCCTGGCCAAAACAGGGACTTTTTAGTGCTTGGGAGAGCTCGGAAAATCAATTATTTGGTCGACCTAAAAAAAAGGTCCACAAAGTTTCGAAAACTTTTGAATTTTTTGAAAATCTGCCTTCCCCCCCCCTCCCTTGAGAAAAACCTAGATCCCCCCCTGGGATTTAGACAAAAAAATTGCTTATGCTAAAAAATACTTGTCAATAATTTCGTAACATTGAAGCGTCAGCGGCAAATTAGAGCTTTTCAATTTGATTGAGACCTTAGTCTGTTCTTTTTAATATAGCACCGCAACAGCATACAACAAATGACAACTCTAAAACTTAAGAAAAGCGACACCTCGAAAAGTTTGAAAAATGTTTTCAAATATAAAAACTTTGGTTAAAGTCACCGTTGGCTTAGGTCGCATTTTTGAATTTCGTATAAAGTTTTACCCTCTGGCAAGCTCGAAACATGTTGGCCTAACATCCGCTGTAAGTATAGAGTGCGAGGTGTCTTCCAATGCGACTTGTCTGTTATTGCCAGTTGGCTTTTGTTACGAGTTGTCGTATTACGTTTTCATACGTTATCTAACGTAAAATAAGGGTGTGAATTTTCAAAACTTAAGTACTTCTCATTCTTGGTACCAAAAATCAACCTGTTTTCGCTGAGCGAATAAGGGACCAAAAAAGTATATATTGAAATCCAAATAAATTCAAATAAAAAATACACTATAACATAACTTTCTTATCTCTTGTGCGTCTTTAAGTCAAAATCAAAAGCTTGAATGGCCAGGTCTGATTCAAAACTGATTACTCGTGTCTCAGATCTTGTTTATTCTGGGGAGTTTTAAAAAAAAAAAACAGTTTAGGGCATGTGAAGGACTGTTTTTTTTTATGGTCAGGCTTTCCGGGCACCTAGTATGTAAAAAGGTAAAAGATCAGATATTGAATTAAAAATTGGCAAGGATGAGCTTCTTTCAATGACCAACTATAACCTACATTAAATATTTTAATTTAAAAGTGTCCAAAAATTGCGTTTGTTGAGTTTGAGTTTTCTTTCAGAAATATCCAAGATTTAAAAATTGCAAAGATTAAGGTTTTTTTGTACAGAAAAGAAAAAAAATGACATTTTTTTGTCCAGTAGTCAAAATTTAACCAATTTTTTTAAATCAAATATTAGGTTAAAAAACAAGGGAAAACTGTTGCTGCGCAAGTAGCACGAAATGCCCCGACCACTTTCATAAACTCTACTAAAGTTTTTTTTGTCTTTTTTCATCAATTTGATCCCGTTTTATTGCGTGGTTTGATGAAAAAAACTACACAAAGGCGTATAACGTTAGTAAATTAGGCATAATCGAAATCACTTGTCTTCAAAAAACGGGTAAGCAAAAATGAAAAAAAAGTTTAAACGTTTTTAAATTTTTTTTGCACGAAATCGTTTCAAGTTTTTAGAAAACTTATAATGCCACAGAAGTGATTATTGAGTTTTTCAAAACTCGTTTCCGCTGAAAATTGACCAAAACTTTTGAGCCTAAATGATCAAATATTTGATAATGACCAGATTGAGCCCTCAATTTTCATATAACGAACGTTATTTACTTGATCATTTCATTCGCTAGAAATCAAGCTGGAACTTAAAAAATTACAACCGGTATTTCAACACTGCGACAAATTTTGGAATTTCTTATATCCTCTGAATCACGTCTAAAAAGGCTTCAATATAACATATCGCTCGACCCGGAACTGTCTTCTATGGCCAGATAAATTAGAAATAAACTTTTTCCGTCCAAAATTAGCCTAGATTTAGGAACTTTTCTTTTCAGAATCAGCCAAGACTTAGAAGATTTGGCCAGAAATTGTAAAAATTTTTCTGCCGAAAAAAAGCCAAAACTGTACCTTTTTTTCAGCATTGGCAAATACTTTTTTTAAAAGATTTCATCTTTGTTATACGAGTGTCGCTTACAAAAGTAAACTGAGTTCCGGCGTATCGAGTCAAAAAATTTTAAAAAAAGAAGAAATAACATTGGGTAAAAATGGAATTATCACTATAAAACATCAAAAAACTGAAGCGTAGCCTTTAATACTCCCCCCTTTGATACTTTTTCAGAAATCCATTTTTGGCCGACCGACCCTTAAATTTTTCTAAAGGCGCCTCAGGCGCCAATATATACTAACTTTGAGGGGGAGCGCGCGCCAAAAAAACGCTATTTTTTTGTCAAAATTTTTCAAAAAGTGCCCAAAAACGGCTTTTTTGACTGTTTTTTCAAAAATTTGCCTGCGGCGCAGAAACGTTTGCCAAAATAGGGGCAAAACAGTGCTTTGGGAGAGCTCGAAAAATCAATTTGGTCGACCTAAAAAAAAAAAAAAGGTCGTCAAAATTTTGGAAAATTTTTTGAAAATCCGCCCCCCCCCCCCCTCGAGAAAATCCTAGATCCGCCCTTGCCTTGAACTTTAGTTCGGACTAAGTACAGGTATGATTTTTTGAAACACTTACTCGTGCTGACTGGGTCTATTCCAAACTCTGATTTAAGTGTTTTTTCAACAAATTGTCGACAAGCCTTCTTCTCTCGGGGAATCAGGTAGAACACTTTGTGAAATTGTTTTTCTTTGATGCACTTTCTGGTAAGTGCCATGCATACATGAGACTTTCCAGTTCCTGGTTCGCCCAAGATGAATTTGAAAGGGTTGTATTCGTCATTCACAATTTCTTGTTGTTGCTTGCTTAGAGTCACTGAAACACAGAAAAGCTGTAAGTTGCTTGCTTAGATTCTTAATGACACGTATTAAACTACCCAGAAATTTCACAAAAAAGAAGTTTCAAAAAAGCAATATCAATATTTATTTATTGCAGAATATAATCCATTTTACCATTTAACCCAAAACGTAACTTTAAAACGAGATACATTCATTTTATTATAATTCAAGTTATTTCTGTCATAATTGCGAAGCAGAGCTGTCCACCACTCGCAATGATTTTTTTTTTGAAAAAGTTCCATTTATTGTTTCAAAGAAAAATGAGAACTTAGAAAAACTTTGAAGCAAAAATCTAAAACCAGATTTATTAAGCCCTGTCACCATCCAATGCGCATAATAAAAATGAGAACCTCATTAAGTCGAAAAAACAGGCCTTAGAAAAAATTCTTTTTAAGCCCTGCTACCATCTGCCTTTCCAAGCCCTTACAAGCCCTGCTACCATGAGATGCCTTCAGTAAACACAAGAAGCCAATTAATTAAAACAATAGGCATTTGAGACTTCAGGGTCGAAGATGAATTTCGAAAGTGGAATGATTTCTACCCAGCTACCAGCCAAAGCACACATAAAACAAAAACCCCAATGAACCAAAAAAAGCTTAGAAGTCTATCTGAGTCAAAGCAGAAATCTGAAACTAACATTTTTAAGCCCAGCTAAAACGCGCAGAGTTAAGAACAAAAACCTATCCAAGTTTAAAAAACTATCCAATAGATTATCTGAGCCAAAGTTAAAATTCAAGTTCATTATTATCTAGCTTGGTCACATTCAAAAGGCAAACTGAAAACACGAACCCCATTAAATCTGAAAAGTAGGCAATAGAGTTAAATATTGAAGCCACAAATTTTTGAGCCCAGCTACCTTCAGATGCGCACAATAAAAACAAGGACCCAAATAAAAAACATGCATTCGAGGCTTTCTGAGCCAAATGTTTTTTATAAACCAAGTTACCATTTAATGCATACAAAAAAAAACAAAAAAAACGTTATGTAGTAAAAACATAAATTTTTCTAAGCCAAAGCTGAAAATTAAAATCAGAGTGAGTTTTTTCAAGCACAGCTGTCTCCAAATGACCACACTCAATACAGAAACCCCATGTTTTTTACACATGACCAAAATGAAATAATTTGAGCAAAATAACATAGGTTGAAACCTTCAAGGCGAAACAAGACTTGAAGAACACCGGCTATTGCAAGGTATCGGAGTCGTTAGATCAGAATTGTAATAATCATAAAAAAATTTAGGCTATGCGCAAAAAAAGGTTGTAAAACCTTATAGTTTATTGTTTCAGTTAACTGAATAGTCCAAATTGAGGTATAATTTGTTTCGGGCTATTGAACTTTCGGTTGAAGTTATACTTTTTCCTTTATATAATAATGTTTTTATACTTGTACCTATACGTTATATAGATAAAACGTTGTATGAAGAAATTTTTAACCACAAAGAGCATTAGACGGGTGTTAACAATGACATAACAATCACGTGTAACTTTTGGAACCTGATCTAAACTACATTTTATTATTGGATAAATTAGATATTTTACCACTGTAAAGTATTTAATATTAACCAATCATAATCCATCTAACTAACAACCCACTTATTTGTAAGTGCTGAAATTACTAGTAATTTCAGCACCAGAGAGATTTGAATTTAACTTAGAAATTAGTTACCTCTCCGAGAGAACTTCAGCAGTTGCAATAAGCTAGTATACTTTAGATCTATTGAGCCTAGCAGAGACTACTTAAACACCCTGAGACTAGTAGATATAAGAGTAAGATTAGGATCGGTATTAGACTAAGAAGTTGCACGAATCTATCCGGCCGAAAATAAGATAGCGTGACGAGCACACGGTGTACCCTATCCGAAATTACTCTATGAGTTAACCACATCGGTTCTAACTCATCTGGTGCAACAACAAGTCTCGAATAAGACCTTAATAGCTTAGAATTAAACAAATATAGATTAGAAATTAGACAAAACATTTTCAAAATGTTACACGATAATAACTTAATTGAAATGTCTCTACGACTCAATAGATCAGAGCCGATATTCCGCACAATACTAGAACTACCCGGTATTGGAAGAAGACCTCGGACAAGAGACAATATACGACTACATAGAAACTTACCATTTAGTTTCATGGTTGTACGGTAAAAGCCAACACAAACTTTTATATTTAGAATCTTATTAGCAATGAATTTAGATTTTCATTTGCAAACATAAAATTTAGAAGTAAATCTTCATGATTATTTCAGGCGCTAAACAAAATTATTAATGTACAAAAACAATTGATAAAAAGATCTCAGATTGTTCTCTTAATTTCTGCAGCATTGTATAAAACATATTTAAAAAATATTTATTGAAAACGAAAATAAAAATTAGTAGCATGACAATAAATAGTTAGTAATTATAAACCAACTTGTTGTTCCAGCATCATCACCTAAACATAACAGCAATCATAAGCTCACTGACTTTATTTAAAAATTAAATCTTTTTATCAAATATATTAAAACCATTTTAAACTTAAATTCACTTAATTTTAAATTAGATCATAAAGGCTTATCCTTGGATCTTTATAAACTTTCTATCTAATTAATTTTAAAATCTGATCATCAAGGCCTATCCTTGGATCAAAAAGAACAATTTTGTTCTCCCCCACCCATTTAGCAAGTGTCTAACGACCTCAAACGTCGATTCACTATCCAACTTTTTCAAAAGAACCAGGACTAATAGAAATTTTTAATAACACTAACCATTCAAATTAGGCTAAACAGTGAAGAACTTCGGTTATTCATCCTTCACTTGAACCCTCCTCTTACCAGACCCAGGATAGATCTTAGACTTAGTAAGTTTAAAATAGTATCTAACGAACAACTTGCGTTCTAATTATTGTAAGGACTAACAGTCTAGGAAAATAAAAATCACTAACAACTATTGCATCCCTCATCGTAAACCTTATATCATTCAAAAATTTAGGAAATAAACAAACAATCGTTTTAAACAACTGTGAAATAGACAACCAAAAGTACGATCTTGTAATCACTCCACATACACAAACAGTTGGATACATTCGAACAAAACGACAAACAATAAAAAGGAAAATTATAAACAAACAAAGACAAATCACACAAAAAAGATTTTCGAAAAATAGAAACGCATTTTCTGAATCAGAAGCCAACAGTTTAGACGCACTATATAAACTAAAAGAATCAATAAATAAAAATTACCCCATTCATGATCAATTAAATTTTTCCGACTCAGAAACAACTTCAAATTCATCAAAAAGAGGAAAAAGAAGAATAAAAAAGCAATATAAACACAAACCAGTACACCTGTATAATTGGAATCAACCAATTAGACACATTGATAGTTACATATTAACAGTCATCAAACAAAAAAAATGAGCCACACTCAAAGTGAAGAAGCAGTTTTTCCCTTTCTTATAGATTCACTCGATGATAGAGGACAAACACGATTTTGTAAAAACTTACTCGTAAATTTGCTTGAACCAGGAATCAGTCCATGCAAAGCAGAATTCCCAGATGTAAAAAGCAAAAGACATTTTATTGAACATTATTTGAAAGACATATGTAATCTAGCACAGCAATACGGAATCTACACCATAGAATTTAGCACACCAAATACAGCCCATGGTAAATATGTAATTCAAACAGACGATATTGAATTAGAATTTTCAAAAGTATTCATAGAACATATCAAAAGCATACAATATCATAATTCACAAAGAGCAAACTTCATATTCACTAACGAAATTTTTGCAATAATATATAGTTATATATCTATATTAGAAAAAACAGAAGTTCAAAGTACATCATCAACTGAATCATCCAAACATACAAAAGTACGAAATGAAATCACAGTATTTTCAACATTTCTACATATAATCCGCAAAAATTTTACCAAAGATGATGTTTCACAAAACACTAAACATGATTTACAAAAGATTTTAGCATGGTTCATAATAGATTATTTCACCCACAATTTAGATTTAAATTCACAAGCAAGAAAAAAATTTCAGACCTCAAAATACCAATGACGACACTGTCCTTTCAGAACAATCAGATTACGTTTGGGACTCTGAATGGTCTCATCCAGCATTTCTAAATATTCCACAAGATATCTCGAGTCAAGCAATAAGTACAATATCTTTTCACAGAGATTATGTAAAAGTAATACCATTAACAATTGACGCAACACCATTAAATTATAATACATTTTTACCTGGTACACGAAATAATAGCTTAAATTCAACAGTCATGCATAATAAAAATCTCAATGGAACCAGAAATCTTACGCAACAAGATATTCAAACACCATCACACTTCATAAATGAAGAAATCGTCCAAACAACAGCAACAACTACACAACAAAGTATTTCACCGATACATCCAAATTTGACAACACCAAGAAATACAAATACATCACTAACACAGGTAACATTACAATCAACCGTTAAACCTTCGGTTGCTCCAAAATATTCACATATGGACTATCAAACGTATAGACCAATGACAATACCGTCAAAAACACGAAAACCGTTCACAAGAAACACTTTTGCAGAACCCAATTATTATTATGCACACCAACTAAAAACAAATGAACCTCCCAAAAAAACTACACAAAATTTAAATCACGTATGTTCCCATTATTGGAATCTTCCAAAAACATCGACCAATTCAGTAAATTTTCCAGACAATCCACAACCTACACAGGATTATAGTGAAAATTATCCATTTTTTTAAACAGAATAAAAATAAACAACATACACCATATAACACAAACTATTTATCATCTGATGACGATGATTATCATCAACCAGATCCTTTTGCACCATATACTAAAGAATATTGCACACAGAGACCGCGACAGTCTCAACCATCTCAAAATATGAAAATTTACCCACAAAATCCAACAGATATACAAAATCCACAACAAATGCATATAAAAAACCCATTTAACAC